CTCTCTCTCTCTCTCTCTCTCTCTCTCTCTCTCTCTCTCTCTCTCTCTCTCTCTCTCTCTCTCTCTCTCTCTCTCTCTCTCTCTCTCTCTCTCTCTCTCTCTCTCTCTCTCTCTCTCTCTCTCTCTCTCTCTCTCTCTCTCTCTCTCTCTCTCTCTCTCTCTCTCTCTCTCTCTCTCTCTCTCTCTCTCTCTCTCTCTCTCTCTCTCTCTCTCTCTCTCTCTCTCTCTCTCTCTCTCTCTCTCTCTCTCTCTCTCTCTCTCTCTCTCTCTCTCTCTCTCTCTCTCTCTCTCTCTCTCTCTCTCTCTCTCTCTCTCTCTCTCTCTCTCTCTCTCTCTCTCTCTCTCTCTCTCTCTCTCTCTCTCTCTCTCTCTCTCTCTCTCTCTCTCTCTCTCTCTCTCTCTCTCTCTCTCTCTCTCTCTCTCTCTCTCTCTCTCTCTCTCTCTCTCTCTCTCTCTCTCTCTCTCTCTCTCTCTCTCTCTCTCTCTCTCTCTCTCTCTCTCTCTCTCTCTCTCTCTCTCTCTCTCTCTCTCTCTCTCTCTCTCTCTCTCTCTCTCTCTCTCTCTCTCTCTCTCTCTCTCTCTCTCTCTCTCTCTCTCTCTCTCTCTCTCTCTCTCTCTCTCTCTCTCTCTCTCTCTCTCTCTCTCTCTCTCTCTCTCTCTCTCTCTATGTCCTCTGTCTCTATATATATATATATATATATATATATACTTATATATACACATACATATAGGTATATATATATGAGACAGAAATCGATACACATATCCTTAAGCATACATATCCATATATGCACACGTAGTGCCCTTCCACACGTGCACCTTTCCCTGTCCTCCCCCCCCCTCGCCCCTCCCTCTCGCTTCCTGGTTCAGCGGCCGCAGCGACGGCCCGGATCGCCGACGCGAGCCTGAGAATGTAAACATCAAGACCAGAAAGACCTTGGCTTTACCTCGAGGGTCATTAACAGATTTAAGAAACCGGTTTACTATTACGTTCTTTTTTTTGTTTCT